TAATGATAATGATAATAATAATATTGATGGAACATTGGACCGCAAAGCCAAACTGATAAATACACTGAGGACAAGACAACTCGGAGGTTCTCGGGGGAGTAAAAAGAAAGAGGGGCTTTTCAGGGGTGGCCCCCAAATCCAGTGATTTCCTCACTGAGGCCCATCCGGTGCCAACACTGTCATATTTTCATGGCTGGGTTCAGACTGCCCTCTCCTCCTAGGCATTTAATGGCACTTCATGGGGTACATCTGCTGTTTTCACAGGAATGTTTTTTTAATGAAACTGTTTGAGCTGCTTCGATGCCTTTAAATATGTATATCAGAATTTTATGCTATTTCTCCACCTGTTAAAAGTAAAGGTCCTTGTTTGCAAGCTGAAGTGTGTGTACGTACGTGAGAGTTATTCCCTGACCTCGTTCTCTCCTGGAAACAGGTTGCCCTCATTTCCAACTCTGAAATCATCTCTTTAATTAGTAGTTCTCTCTTTGCAGCCCTAGCAATCGTTAATTGTTTGGGGGGTTCTTTTTGTTTTGAATTTTCCCCCTTTCCTTCCTGTTGTTTTTGGCGTCACAGCTCAGCTTGGTCACAATGGGATGGACCTGCTGTGGTCCAAAGCACCTTTTCCCCGAGTTCCTACGCAGAGGGATTTGATGTACCACTGTGCGGGTCTGGCAGTCACGAACTCCGTGGCAAGGGCAAAGTGAAGCGTGGCATCCCTTTATTATGTATTTATTTATTTAAAACTTTTATATACCATCCTCTGTCAAGGTCTCGGGACGGTCTTACAATAAAACAGAGTGGAGCAGAGCATCCAAACTGATTTTCTATATAATAAAACCCCACATTAAAATCAGACTCAGACCTTGAAATAATGGGAAAATTAAAAAGGGCTGGGTCGGCCGAGACCCTTTCCCAAGACGGCCTCTGGGTCGGCCGAGAGCCTCCCCAAGACGGCCTCAGTGATGCGGTCCCTGTGATGCGGTCCTTCGTTGGGCCACTCTGTGGGAAGCGAAGGGGGCCATGGGGCCCAAGGGGCGACCCTCCGGCAGCTGCAGGGCCCAAGGGGCGACCCTCCGGCAGCTGCACTTCTGCAGGGATCCTGGGAGCGGCTTGGGCCCGGCACCCACGGATGCTGTCGGCGGAGCCACCCAGTTCTGGCGTGCAGTGATTGCGTGCGAAGCAGAAAACAAACGCGACATCTTTGTGGCTGACAGAGCCGGCAGCTGCTCCTGCAGCGCCTGCTTTGGGGGCGCCAACCCTGGGCGGGGAGGATGGGTTCCTGTGTCAACCACTTCAGAGGGTCTGGGGGAAGGCGTGGGGGCCCGTGCGCCGACAGGGTATGAAACGCAAGCCACACGGCAGCGTGAACCGCCCCTGCCATGCGGCTGCTAATTTTAGTGGGCCCCCACCAGAAGGAAATGGTTACTGTACTTATGGGGTGGCTGCTGTGCTGTAAGCATTTGTCTCTTCCAGGTTCTGGAAGGCCCATGGGCGAGACCCCTTCCTTGGGCCCCCCTCCCTCGGTGCATCTTCTCGCCGCCTTGCTAGGACCAGCTGGCCCTCCTCCTCTTCCTCCTTGTGTCCCCCCCTTGCTGGTTTCACAGGGAAGGACCAGAGGATCTTTGCTTTCGGGAGCAGCCTTGACTGCATCCGTATTCCACAGGACTACACCTCTCCCGGAGCTGCCCCTTCACCATCGCCTGCAAGAGAGTATCTTTATTTATTAGATCATAAACCCAAGGGCAAAGTGAAGCATGACATCCATCCATCCATCTATTTATTTATTGCTTTTCTATCCTATCCCCTGCAAAGATCTCGGGGCAGCTTACAAAAAATAAACAGAATAAAACGAACCCACAGCAGCCGGCTGTTAATATTCTTAAAACCCCAGTTAAGATCAATTAAACATAAAATAACTGGAAAATGAAAAGGATTTTGCCTGATGTCGAAAAGAATATAACTTCGAACCTTTCTGGGAAGCGTATTCCAGAGTCAAGGAGCCACCACAGAGAAGGCCCTGCTCCAGATACCCTCCCTCCTAACCTCCTTCAAGGAGGGCTTCCACACCGGGGCCTCCGCCTCAGATCTCAAGGGGCAGGGGGCACATGGGGAAGAAGGCGCCCCTTCAGGTATCCCAGACCCAAGCTCTTTCGGGCTTTATGGGTCATAATCAACATCCTAAATTGGGTCCGGACTTCAACCAGTAGAGGACCGGCGTTATATGTGAAAACTAGCCAGATTTTAGGCCAGATTTTTTCCCCAAAGAGTGTGAAGCACCTGGAAGAGCTTTCTTCATAAGTCCTTAGGGAGTTGGGTCTGGTTTGGTTGTCTTTCCCATTCTGGGGCCTCCTAGGGTGATTGCTGGCAAGGGGGCAGGAAAGGGTGTTGGAGCCCCTAAGATTGCTTATTTGGAAGTGCTCATGAAAGCAAATGTTTTCTAGACAGGTTGCGTGCAGGAGAAAAGGTGCTTCCAGTTGGAGCAAAGAATAAATGAATTTAAAGAATGCTTCGCCCAACAGTCATCTCTCTGTATGAGTTTCTGCTCGAACCTGGCCTCCTCCTCATCGTGGGTCTCCTGCTTGCGTCTCTGAAGCACCTGAGGCACATCAATTCTGATGCGAAGACACAGAACAACCTCCCTAGCTCCAATGCTTTGAACTCCAGCTCTCATCAGCCCCAGCCACAACGGTCAGTGGTCAGGGATGATGGGAAGTGCTGTGGAAAACTTCAGCAGCACGCTGGAGCATGAAGCATTACCACTGAAAAATGCACACAGGCACCTGACAGCCAAGAGAGTGTACACTCTCACACACACGCGCGCACGCGTGCCCCAACCGCCGTCAGGTGACTGGGAAACCCAACCAATGTGACATGTTCGCACGGCCTTCATAATCGCGGCCCCTTTCGCAGCCAGATGCTGCCCTGAAGAAATTTCCTCTGCCGTTCCCTCACCCACCCACCCACTCACCCACCCACCTCGGTTTTCTTTTAAATCTTTCGGTTTCTCCGAAGGGTTGATGGTAACACCGCGGCCCGCGAGGTGTGAAGCAGTGGGAAGAGGAAGCTGCCACTTCCCCTCAACTGGCAGTCCAGGAACTGCCGATCCGAAAGCGGCGCATCTGAACACACGCAGAGCGCTCGGCTGGGTCGCCTTTGGGTATGTGCCCCGCACACGAGCGGAGGCAGGGTGGGCATGCCCATTTCTAAATTTAAATCCGGCCTGTTTAAACGAGAGAACCGCTCTTTAGGGTGAGGCCCTCGAAGATACCTCCTTTGAGTTCCACCAGCCCTTATCCAACAAGATGCTCTTCGCCAAGCAAAGAGGCCTGTATCAGGGCTTTTGGGGGACCCCTCACCCCTGTGGCCGTCTCCCTTTTGCACATGGGGGGCAGTGTCGCGCCTGCTAGCCCATCAGCGCGCACAGCTGGATATTGGAGATAGAGAGGATGCCACTGAGATGGAGCTGAGCTATTCAGAGGTGGTTTATTTTGGGGGACCAGGTGCGGGAGACGGACGAAACAGGAAGGTTGTTTGCGTCTGTGCTGTGGGATTGAGACAGCCGCCCTGGAGGTGCTGGATAGGATGGGCCACAGCTTTGATGGATTAGCTCCTTTTAAGTTACTAGCCCTCGTGAGGAGGTGCGGAACCTCCCTGCGCAGAGGGGGTCCTTGTCTGTGCACGGCCATGCGGTGCCATGCTTGGCACTCCTGCGGGGCCTGGAGGGATCTTGGCCACCGCTTTCTGAAGACGGGATGCTGCTGGGAGCGAGGCCTTTGCTCTGAGCCACCAGAGCAGCTCTGAGCTCCCGAATTCTTCCTTCAACATGATGCAACCTTCTCGCGTTTCTGTTTGCAATGTTGTTCAAGAGAAAGAAGCAATGCTCTTTCGGTGTTGAGCAATAAACCCGCAATGGGTTATTCCCCACCCTTCCCATGACTGGCAGGTGATGCTGTGTTGACGCTGCATCTCCTCTCCATAAAAACCGAACCTGTTGGGTTTCTGCCTGCCACACGGCGGTTGTTAAGGGCACACCAGTCAGGCCAGAAGTGGGGGGAGAAGTGACAGCGGCACATGCGGTCCAGCCAAACCAGGGAGAGGCGGCTCGGTGCCTTCCAGGGGTTTTGGACTACAGCTGCTAGAACCCTGGGCACAGGCCATGCTGTCTGGGGCTTATGGGTGTTGTAGTGCAAATCACCTAGAAGTTGCCAGTTGGCCTATCCCACCTATGACTACAATGCAGTGGGCGCCCTCTGCTGGTAGACACACAAACTCCACTTTGACAGTCCTGGGTTCATTTCCAAAAATGAAACCTGCCCCCCAGAGACTGGCTGAGATGAAGGGTGTGTGTGCTGGGGGGGGGGGAAGGTAAGAATTAAATAATAAATAGATCACCTCTTTCTCTAATCCCCCCAACATATTCCTCAATATGCAAGGAGTGAATGTGGTAGTGGGAAGGCAGAATCCACTTTGCATATGCTCAGAGGTGCTCTTACTACATTTCCTGTCATTCCTGCCCATGATTATCACTCTTATGGCATGCATCCATTCATGAACATTTCTACCCTCCCTTCCAAAATGGAAGCACCCAAAGCAGCAAAGTATTAATTTGACAACACAAGCAAGAATTGGTCTCCGTAAATGTTCAGAAACAATCTTGTCATTCCTTTGCACAAGTTCAGTGATGCTGATTTCACCTGAACGTTATACACAAGGGTGTGATGTCAGGTGTACTTTGACCCTAAATGGCTGCATTTATAAACTATGACATCGCCCTGCATACCTACACCAAAAGTTCAAATTCCACCGCCTGGCCTACCATGCAGGGTGAGTTTGAGGATGAAACGGAGAAAAGAGGATTATACAAGGTGCTAAGCCCTCTTGCAGGCAATGCATATGACCACATCTTTGTCTGCACGGGAGGTAATTTTGTCTGCGTCCGGAAGAGTGGTGTTACGATGAGGACGAGGCTTTCCCTCTCTTTCAAAGGAAGTACAACACAGTTTTACTTGTTAGCGATTTAATACTGAATACATCCAAAAGCAGGCCTTGCTCAGGATCACTTTTCCCACACCCTCTGTGACTTCCCGTTACGTTCCGTCCTCCCCATTCCAACCAAACTCAGAATCTGGCCGTCAGTATATAACTGCATCCCACTTGGGGTCTCCCACACGCAGCACCATCAAACCCAACCAAATGCCAAGACCTTTCCGAACCGCCATCTCAGCCACAGGATGTCAGCTGTGCCCTGTGCCAAAAATATCTCTTTATCTCTGCCCACCCTGACTACCCACTTTCCTTTTCCCTTTTAAGTTCATGCGAAAACTAACTTGCTGCATTATGGGATCCGGACTGTAATCCCAGGCTTTGGTTATGCTGGCAATCAGAGAAAGAGATGGCAGCACAAACACACCACTGTTGCAGCTGCTCCACACGCACAACTGGGCGCTAAATATCCCAGACTTGATCTCGGTATAACATCCTTCTGTCCCCTTCCGCCTCCTTCCTTGCTCATGTCTGATTCTTCTTGCTTCTTATATATGGTACGGTCCTCCCCGTGTCTTGCTCCTTACATAGCCCTCTCCACATTTCTCTTTCAAACGGTTTATCAGCCTCACCTCTGCAAACACCTCTCCCTCCATCCGGTTGCTCATTCAAGGATCGGGTCAAGGGGATGCTCCATTTCCAATGCACTATGAATAAATGCTAAGTTCTCTCTAATAGCAAAAAAAGAAAGGGGAAGCTTGAAAGGGGAGGAAAAGATCTTATCTAGAAACTTCTGGAAATGCTACAGATCCTCAGACTGAAGACCCAAGCATTTCTCCAGATACCTTATCAGCATTAGCTGATGCACTTCTTATTTTTTCCCCTCCTGTGCCCTATATCAGAGGTAAGCAGAAGCAAGGTAAAGATCTTATGGTAGGTTGCTAAGTAGTTTACCATAGATCGTGGAGAGGGCTCGGCTCCCAGGCCTTTAAACAGGGACAAAAGGCAGGGAGGGCTCTCTCAAGGCCGACTTTGCACTGATTGCTTTGCTATCAGCCTCAGTGTTCCTCATCTGTAAAATGGGAGTATGACTCAGTTGTGCATTTTTCACCAGGCCTTGGTTCAGCTTGGCTGGCTAGCTTTAGTACGTTGCCTTGGAATCACTCATCACGACTTCATTTGCATAAATATTAGCATGTGGCTGGTTGAAGGCTTGCCACAGGTCGCTGACCTGCGCACCACCTGTTCCCAGGCCACCGCTCTGTGGATCTCTCTGGTTGGAAGCCCATGGCACCTGCATTTTTTAAAAAATCAATACAGACTCCTGCCATCTCCCTTCCTATATGGGACTGACCAGACCTCGAGTCCATCAATGCCAGAGGTTTCCTGACACACCCCATGGAATTCCCCTGGGTCACCCCTTTTCACCCAGCTGCCACATATTCAGTGGCTTCCTGGCTTTCCCCACTTCAGGCCTCAACTGTTGGCAGTAAAAGTTTTGAGCTGGCAGATACCGGTAGTTTTGACTCCAGCCCTTTTGCTCTACAGCGATGCATCTCCCGAGAGCCTTCCCAAAATAGAATTTGGCCGTCGGGAGGGAAGAGGGTCAACAGCAAGCATTATGTTCTCCAACCCAGACAGTACCACATCTTTTGGAAACCCACCAGCAAAGCCACTAGAGAACATCCATTTCTCTTGCCATCTATCCCTGAGCAGATAGACTGCTTTTGAAGATGGAGGTTCCACTGAGCTGACGCTGTATTTAGCTGACCCATCTTTTTCCATGAATTTTTCAAATGCCCTTCACTAAAACCATTAACTCAGCCCAAGGATCTCTCCCAGGTTTTCAAGGCAACGGCTGCAGTAATTCACCTATGCATCACATACAGAAATGGTTTTTCTTGCCTCCCGCATTTATTAGCACCCACCTCATTGGCTGACTTCAAGATGCCTTGTTCCCATCACACTTTTAATTAAGTTAGCGAGCACAGTAGTTTCGTTAAAAGGAGGAAGCTCCAAACCGTGCCCAAGGAATTGCAATGCACCACTTTGATTTGCTCCGCGATGGAGTTTTCCCCTCCTTGGAAACTCCCTGTTGAGAGTTAAACTGGTTTGGGGTCGGGGTGGGGATCAAACTGGCTTACATGGGGAGCAGAGCCCTTTTAGATGGAGAAAAGCCATTTGGGCATAACTGGAACTCGTTGGCCCCTGCGCTAAGTCAGCCCCGTGACCGCCGCTAAGTTTCTAGCCCTGCATTCACCCTGTTCTCCTGCCTTAACCTGTATATGCATAAAGAAACCAATAATTCTGAAAAGCCAGTGGAACGTTCTAAAATTCTCCCTTTCCACCCAAGGAAGCTGGAGGAGCTGGCAAGTATATATATTTCCTGAGCTCCCTATGGCTGAGAGAGGGTGGGCGTTGAGGCAGCCCCTTTCCCCGGCTTCCCTTCATCTCGGCGCGTTCAGCAGCACTTCCATCCAGCAGGGGCACGAGGTGATGAACCGGCGGGAGTAGCAGGGCCCCCAGCCTTTGGTGAAGCTGATGCGGATGGTGTGGGTGTCGCAGGGCCCATCGCCCAGGCCTCCGACCGCCAGGTTGCCGGCCCGTTCGTAGTCGAACACCTTGATGGAGTATCCGGGAAGGATCTTGTGCACCGCCGGGCTGAGGCTGCCCGGAGGTCCCAGGGTGGGCGAGCAGACGAAGATGGGGTGCTCGCTGCGGTTGTACGCCCAGACGCCGCCCGTCTCCCGGCTGAGCAGCAGCCCCTGCCCGATCTTGGCCTGGGCCCGCCGGACAGCCTGGCTGCGGTTCCTCGAGGCGAGCTGAGGCAGGCAGAGCCCGCTGCCCGCCGGCAGGTCGGAGAAGACGTTCACGTAGTCGTCGTGCACGGGGAAGAGGCGGCCCACCCGCAGGCGGAACTCCCAGTAGGCCAGCTTGCACCAGTAGCTGTCTTTGAGGGAGTGCTGGGAAAGGCTTGTGTCTGTAGGACGAGAGAAAGGATCCGTGAAGGTCTTTCCGGACCGGCATTTGCAGGGGCTGGATGGATGCTTATGAAGCACTGGGAAAGCAGACAAAGATTTGCGTGACCTCTGTGCAGGCCGGTTTATACGTACAGGTGCAACACAGCCATGGAAATTTAAAAAGTGAGAGAACCAGTGGGGTGTCGTAATTAGAGAAATGGACTTGGGCTCTGGCAAGCTCGGTTTTAGGACCTGCTCAGCAAAGAAGCGCACAGGGTGACTCTGGGCCAGACTCTGTCTCTCCGCCTAACCCATCTCAGAACGATTGGCGGGCGGCCAAGTAAGCTGCCTTGGATTCCTTGCAGGAGGAAAAACAAAAGGCAGGATATAAAGGAAATGATGACTAAACAAATATTCTAAGGCATTCCTGGCCTTTACAAGATTACTGCAGGGTCTTCGGGGCTGAAAGGAAGGCCATCATAACCAGAGACATTAGGGACTGTACCTCTCTAATGCACCTGCCCACATATGTTGCACTACAGTGCCCATCATCCACTGCCAGTGCAGCACAGACGAACAAGAAAAGGCCCCAGTAGGATGAAAACAGCCAGGGTGAGACCTGGGGCCAAAGTCTAGGACCCTGCAGCCAAGCGAAGGCAGCAAATTACCCCCCAGAGAGGAGAGGAGGGTAAAAGTGCAGAAAGGAACTCCTTTTTGATTCTTGGAATCCTGCACGTGCTCAGAGGTTGGGTTTTGTTTTGCTTCTTAAATCAGGATGGGCGGACTGTTCTGTTGTTGTTCTAACACAGGATTGTGGAAGCAGTTTAAAGAGTGGGATGGCAGAGTGTGTGTGTTTGTGTGAGTGAAAGGGGAGTCGTGCATTTCCCAGCTGAAGGAATACCAGTGGCTCTCTAAAGGGACTTCCAGGAGGCCGTGAAGGCCAGGGCCTGACCTCGCACGGCTCGCGGAGGGTCCATCGCTCAGCAGTTCACCAGGGCAATCCCTGCCACCTTCAGGCACGTCTTCAAAAACTTCTGCCCGGAGCCTGCAGCCACTCGGTCCAAGCAACACCTACGGACCAGGGCTCTGCCTCCAAAGCTCGCAGAAAATCACGGCCCCAAGCAGGGATCTTGACTTTGCCCGAGGAGCGGACACCAGGAGACAGAGGCTCCCACCCAGCGGCCGAGAAAGAGAGCCGACGTCTCTCTGCTCAGACAAAGACCTTGGGCACGGCGGGCTGGGGAACCCCACCGCCCACGGCCGCAGCGCTGCAGACGAGCACGTAGGCCCACGGCGGTGCGCCGGGGCCCCGTCGCCGGCCGGGATGAGAAAAAGGCAGCCCCGGCGCCAGCTTGCTTGGATGTGGCGCCGTGGACGGGCGCCAGGACTCGGCACCGCTCCTTACGTCAAGGAACATTGTCTGCACCTCTGCGGGCCATACTTCCTCCCGGCCGGCGGGAACCAGAAATAACAGGGGAAGCCGTCTGTTGTTGTGCTCCTCCCCCAGGCCCGGTCCCTGCTAATGTCTTTCTCTGTGGAGGCTCAGGAAGATGGGAAGCCGGGCCCCTCCCGGCGGGCTTTCCTTCTGCGGAGCGGCGTGGGCGAGGCTGACCCAGCAGAGGACAGGATCCGTGGCCCGCACGGCTCTGGGATGACTTCCAGAGGGTTCCCGCCCGATCCCTTCTGCAGGGGGCAGCCGGCCCCGACGCTGGGCGTGGGGACAGGGGGCCACAGTGAAGCGTGGCCAAGACTGATGGGGAACCCGAAGAGGACGCCCCGGTGGAGCGAAGTCGCCTCAGGGCCCGGGCCTGGCGGTCTTTCGGGGACCTGCTTTAGAGGACGCCCCGGTGGAGCCAAGTCGCCTCAGGGCCCGGGCCTGGCGGTCTTTCGGGGACCTGCTTTAGAGGGAGCCCCGGTGGAGCCAAGTCGCCTCAGGGCCCGGGCCTGGCGGTCTTTCGGGGACCTGCTTGAGAGGACGCCCCGGTGGAGCCAGGTCGCCTCAGGGCCCGGGCCTGGTGGTCTTCCGGGGACCTGCTTGGGAGGGAGCCCCGGTGGAGCCAGGTCGCCTCAGGGCCCGGGCCTGGTGGTCTTTCGGGGACCTGCTTGAGAGGACTGTGTGTAACTTCCGCCACAAAGAACACATTTCTCTTTCCGTGCTTACAAAAGGCCGGCCTGCCATTCAGCAGAGTGAACGGGAGGTGGCATGTGGCGAGGTGGTACCAGAGTGTCATCCAGAGCGGTGCTGGGTACCAAAAAGAGCCAAGGCTCCGGCTAACAGGACCCCTCCCCACCACAAATTGGCATATTTTAATTCCGATCGGTTCTCAAGTCTGCGTGCTTCCTGAAAAGAGCCGGTCTCCCAAGGGACGCCCTGCTTTATCAACACGGATTAGGGACAGTGGAGGAGCCCGTGGCTTTACTCCCGGAGTTGGGCTGCATCATTCCAGACAGGAAGCGTGCGACTCACAGCACTCCTCTTCTCATCTGGAGTGTCTGACACTCAGGAGCAAGCTGCGTCTGAACGAACAGGCTCGGTTGCTACTGTGCCCAGACCCAGACTGGCTCAGTCCAACACAGTTTTGGTCTCCGGGATGCCCACACAGACGGCCTGAATTTCAGCAGCCTGCCGCTTTCGAAATTATCTTCCCAGGTAGGCCACATCTGATCATTTCATCATCATGGCTAAAAAACCTTGACAGACCCCTTCCTCCTCCTCTGTGGACGGTGTCTAATTGTAATCCCTTTAGACAGCCTTCTAAAGTTACTAGTCCTCACCATGAGTGATGCAGTTGAAGCTCACCACCCATGCACTAGGGGGAGATACCAAGTTTCTCAAGAGCTGCAAAAAATCAACCCCAACCTTTCAAAAAAGGGGGTGACCCTAACTCTCCTCACTAGAAGAATTCCCCTTCCTTCTAGTACCTGAAAAATCATAAAGGTTTATTCTCAGTGGCATGGTAAGAACCAGAGTCAGTGCCTTTGGACCGTCTTTCTGCTTCAGCCCTCTATTTTGGCTGCTGGTTTTAAGATGTCATGAGTTTATCCTTCGGTTCCATCATGCACCATTGTTTCAGGGTCTGTTGTTTTAAAAAAATATTGGTACCGTATGTTTTTCATGTGCTCAGCCTAGATCTGGTTTTTAGAAGATTAAAAGTACAGTAAATAATGTTTTTAAAACAACTCATAGCATGGAGATAGCCATGTTGGAGCTCCCTGTCATTTAACTGTTAAAGACGGAGAGCCCATTTGAAAAAAAAAAGGGACAACCCTCGTCCAGGATCACGAAGGCCTGGATCCACCCGGCTTCCAAGCCAGACCTGTAAGAGCAAAGCGCTCAGAGTTGTCTCCCAAGTTGGGCAGATCTGTTGGTTTTGAATTGGGATGGACCGCGAGACGGAGACAGGTTATTTCCCTGCAGTCTATGAAGAAGTGGGCACATTTTCACGAAGTCTTCTCAAGCACCAAATGAACAAACTGCACACTTGTCTCTCCCTTCCCCTCAATTGCCCAACACTGTTCTTTCCTCACCTTGTCGTACTTTGCGGTTGTTGTCCAAGGTGATGGAGCACTTGGCGAACGGAGAGATCTTCCCGTAGGGCGGTGGGGGGCTTTCTGCAACAGAGCAGAGCAAAACACGACAATGGGAGTGAGCAATTTCCAAATTAAGAAGACACGAACAGCTGTGCTGGGTCAGAGTAAGGGTCTGACTATTCCAGGATTCTGTGCACACGGGAGCCAACCCTGCGAAGTGCACAAGCAGGACAGAACGGCAGTTACCTCCCACCCATGTTCCCCAGCGACTGGTGTCCCCAGGCACCCTGCCTCTGATCCTGCAGGCAGCACAGGGCCATCGGGACGGGGATCCACGGACGGCTTTCTTCCCCTCCAGATTAGGAAGAACAAGGACACAAGCTCGGTCGTCATGATGCCCAGATGCTTTTTTCCTGCTGATCGCTTAAGAGACGGGATTGTGTTGCTATGGCTGAAAGTTTACATTCCTGGAAAACTTCCAGTTTTGGTGAGCTGCGAACCAGATCCCAAGTCTATTTTAGCCTTGACCTATGTATTTATTTAAAATATTTATATGCCATCCTAATTGCAAAAAAGCCTCAGGACGGCTTACAATATAAATTAATATCTTTCTGCCTTAGGAGAGGTTCCTCAGCCCAAGGGGGAAAGGATGGGGAAAGGGGGCATGGCCCTCCAGGGAAGTCCGGGGGCCGGGCGAGTGCCCAGGCGGCCCGCGGAGCCGTGTTTCCGCACCCCCGCTTTGCTTCTCCGCCTCCCCTTCCTCCGGCCACGCTCACCAGTTACGGCGAGCCGGCTCAGGTGGTGCGGGTTGCAACAGTGCGTGGTGCCTTCGCTCCCAGGGCTTTTGCAGCAGCTCAGGCGCTTGAGTTCGTGCGGGTGGCGCAGGTCAGGCCAGCGGTAGAGGCGGCAAAGGAGGAGCGAAGCAGGCGGGCCGGGCTTGGACCCCCGTGACTCGACCCAGACGCAGCCCGACTCGCCGCCGCCCCGCCTCTCCACCGCCTGCAGCAGCAGCTCCAATTCCTTGTCCTTCAGCTTCTTGAAGAGGGCATGAACGGCCGGTTTCAGGGCCCCCTGGCTGTCGTCTGGGCCAGGCGCAATGCAGCGATGCCTCCAGAGCTGTTGTACCAAGTTGGCTCGCCGCGACCGGAACATGAGTCTGGAAGGAACCATTGAGTTGCAACTACATCACCGAGCATTCCTTGCATTTATATTATCCAGGAGTCTCCGTCATTCGGACAAGCACTGGACAATTACAGGCTGCTCCTGGTTGAAAACTTCTGCAGAGTCATACAGCTCGCTGGTGCCGTTTCATTCTCCGTTTGGGAATGTGCTTTCCCTGGTTTGCCATAATTTACTACCGGGCTGGGCTACTGCTATGCACTCTGCCTGGGGCTGCCCTAGAAGGCTGTTTGGAAACTCTAATCCATTCCAAACAGGCAGCCTGCTTTTTAACAGGGGCTGATTTGCCAAATCTCAGAAGGGGCAAGTTACATCAAGTGCAGGGCTTTAGCTCTGCTTGCTCGGGGCCTCGGGGGGAAATAGTAAAAACACAGCGCGGGAGAGGCCAGAACCAAAAGCAGGGAGGTATTTTCTGATTGGCCTGAAGGCATGTGCTCTTAGCCCCACTTCTGAAATACTTGTGTGCAACCAGAAGCTGCTTAGATCTGGGGTGGGCACGTTTCCTGCTTTATAGTGGACAGTCCTCCTCTTGGCTGCCCCATCCAAGTCCATTTTAAAGCTAAATGATGCCAAGAAAGGAGTATAAGCATTGGGGTACTAAGCAACAGACACGCTTGCTCACAACCTTCTCCACTAGCTTGAATTAGAATTAGAACTGGATTTATGTTTCTCAAATGTGCATCTCTGCATAAATCAGCATGCATAAATTTCACGTAACTCTATGCCCCTGTGGTTCCCCCCTCCCTGTTTTTTCAGCCTCAGTCCTAGCTATATCCAACTCCACTCCCATCAGCAGTGGCATAGTGGCTCCGGAGTATTTGCAGGGTCATAGCACTGATGGTTTTTATAACAGGAGGTTAATGTCCCCCACCACCCTCCTCTGACTTCCCTGTTCCCTCTGGGTGAATTTTCCCAGCCACACTATATTTTATTCCCTGTCGTAATGCAAATTATTTCAGGGAAGTTTGGTTTGCAATGTGAGGTTAGGACTGACTAGCTTACAAAAGACGTGTGCTAACAGATGAAAACAGACAGAACTGGTTTCTGGAGCTGGATTGTCACCACTGCCTAAATTCCTGGGTTCTCCTTCGGTCACAGCTCCCGCCCCAACACACGCAGGGAGCGAGCTGCAGGTTCTGAACCTCCATCAGGAAGAGATGGGGAAACTCGACTGCAGTGGCTGAGCAGCGGCTTCCAGCTTCCGTCCGAACACCAAGCAAGCTTCTCTGGCCCGCTTTGTACCTCCCCACCCACCTGGTTCAGTTTATCATTTCGTGCAGCCTTCCCCAAACCTAGCAATCGCCAGATACTTTGGACTACAACTCTCATCATACCCAGCCAGCATGGCAGATGGCCAGGAATGCTGGGTGCTGTAGTTCCAACATCCGGAGGGCATAGGTTTGGGAAAGACTGCTTTAGGAACGTCTCATGTCCTGCAATTGTCTTCTGTACACGATGATAAATCACTTAAGATGGGGATAAATATCATCACGTCCACTGAAGAGGCTCTGGACGCAGAGATTGCTAAACCTATATCTAAGCAGAAGTGAGAATTTCATCTCGGTTGCTCTTTGATGAGAATGTGGCAACATTTGCGTCTTTTCACCAACTGAATGATAGAACTGGAGGAGTTTTTGTTAAGATTGTGGAAGAAAAGTGGGAGACAGTGAAACTGTCCGATTTGTCCGTCCAAGCTTTTGGCTTTGACTGCGGATCTCTTAATGTCCACCTTTGAATCACTGTGTATTCAAAATGCAATTGTAGTGCAGAATTGGATTGCCACGTATTCTTCCAGATAGGCAGGCCCAACCTGGTGCTTCCATGCTGGAAAAAGCTGCACCTACTGAACTGGGCCAGTGCAGATGGGTGAGGATTTCGACATTTGCCGACATTTGCAAAGGTCTCCATAAATGGGACGGAAAAAACTTGGGGAGCAAAGAAATGGAACGTGAGTGAAACCAAATCTGACAGATTCCTCCATCTTAAGTGCATAAGAATGTCGGAAGAATTCTGCTAGATCCAACTGGAGTCCTTCTAGCCTGGCATTTATCCACACAGGGGCCACCCGGCTGTCTGAAGAAATCCGCAAACAGGACCTGGACACAAGAGCACCCTCCTACCCACGTTCCCCAGCCACTGGTGTACACAGGCACACTGTCGCTGATCATGGAGACAGCAAACAGCTATGAGGACTAGTAAGAGGCCATGAATCGTCTCTTCCTGCCAGAAACTGTCTACTCCCATTTAAACTTTTCCAAGATGGTGGCCATGAAAATATCCTGTGGAACTACACCCCAGATTTAATTCTGAGCTGTAGGAAAAAGCCCTTCCTCCCAGCAGCCAGCTTCACAGGATGAGCCCTTTGGGTTCTGGATTGGAAGAAAGCGAGAAAAGCATTTCCCAAGCTCCCTTCTCCTTTCTCCATCATCCTTTCTCACGCCTCTGCCCTGCCTCCCCTCCATCATCTTTTTCCGAACCCAAGCAGCCCCTGATATTGGAACTTTCCTCTTAGGGGAGCTGCTCGGGTCCCCGAATCATTTCAGTTGCCCCTTTCTGCACTTTTCCTAACTCCGCAGGATGCATCCATCGGGCTAATAGAGATATTTTGCAACAACTGGTTCTCATCTGCAAAGAACATAAGCAGCCTGCCAAAAACTTGCAGTGGACTAGCAAGAACACACACAGACACCTGTGGGCTGAAGAAATCTGGGTAGAGACTCAGATTTAGCCACATAGGACCACCCCCCCCCCTTCCACATAACTGGGCACAACTGTGCATTTTCGGGGGATCCAACAAAGAGCTCATTCCTGGCCACCATCTCTCTCCCCACGAGGCATGGCTGGGTTTCCCCTTTTCCACGGGAAAGTTTGGTGAAGAAATGCAAAGGGAGAGGCTGCCACATCTTTGCCCTGGAAGCCCCTTTGCTTAGGTGTCTTTGAAAGGGGCAAAGGGAAAGCACTCTGTGCATTCTCAGGAGCACTCACTCCCTTCAAACATTGGAAGGGCTGTGCTGCAGAAGACGGATAGGTTTTTTCCCTCTCTTGATCTGGAAAGCAGGACTAGAACCCGCGGGAAACGGCAAGGAAGCAGACGGTGGCTGAAATCCGCCAGTGGTACGAGCTTTTTGGAGAGGCAAGAATTCCTCCGGCGCTTCGCTGAGGGTATTGAAGCAGGGGCACAGCGGCCGCTTGCCTGGGCGCCGTGGTCACATCCTGCCTTGGGGATCCTGCCCTGAGCTTGGGTACAACTGCATTAACCTCCAAGGCGTCTTTTATCGGTCTGTCTTGGACTCGTGGGGAAACCCAGCTGGGCATTCTCACGGAAGAGCAGGGAGCTAGCTTCATAGTCCGCTAGCACAAACACACACGCATGGAACACGCGTGGCCGTGGGAACACACGCGCGGAACCCGCTGATGCCAAGCCCTTGCCCGGGGCTCCACACCAGCTCTTGCCCAAGACCCCTCTGGGCTCGACACGGGTGCCTCGTCCGTGCGCCACAGCTGCGCACGCACACCTAGGAGGCGCGAGTGTGAGCACACGCGGGCACGCCAGCCAGCAGGTGGGCGCCCCGCCGCACCCGGCGCTTCAGCCCGGCCCCCGCACCCCGCGCGTGCCCGACGCGCACGCCCCCGCAGCCAGCTCTGGGGTCCCTCGTCTGGAAAGTCAGGGGAGCAGCCGAGCCTGGTCGGAGAGACACTCACTGTGCAGGCGCCGGGGCTGAACGCGCCACTGGGTCCAGACCCGCCGGGAGACTGGGACGGCTCGAGCGGCAGACTTCCTGGCACGGTCTTTTCTTGCTGGCCTGTCCCCTCCCCATCCTTCCCCTGCCCGGCCTCCCCGTGAGGGAGTTGGGGCTGGGGAGGAAGCAGGGAAGTGGGGAGAGGCTGGGCAAAGCGGGGGCTGCGGGGGGCTGGCTGTGGCGGGGGCCTCGGAGCAGGGAGCAGGCAGCCCGGCAAGCCGTGCCCAGACATTCTCCAGCGCCCCAGGATGGATCACGAAACCAGTGGCCCCCTTGCTCTCCATGTTCCCCAGCAAGAGGTGTCCACAGGTACACGCCTCTGACACTGAGGGTGGCGCAGAGCCATCGGGGCAGATGGGTGGAAGATTCTCGCTCTCCCATTATCCTAAAATGCCTCCCTCTCAACTTTCCACATCCCTCCACCGCGTCTCCCCTCGCTCATCCTCCTTCTAAACTACTCCATCCCAGGCAAAAGGGTTCCTCCTGGGAATGTTGCCGGATCGCCTTCTCTGAACCTTTTCCACCTCCACTCTATCCTTTCCTAGGATCTTTGCCCAGGGTTGCGCACAAAATTCTGTGTGTGGTCGCATCAGAAATTTGCATCAAGGCGGTTTTATTTTCAGTTCTTTTCCTAATCAAGCTCAACTTGGAGTTGGCTGCTGGTCGCTGAAGCGGCACCCCGAGCCCCCTTTTCATTGAGCGGCCCGCCTGCGAATGCTGCCTTCATCTGATAGCTAGTATTCCCAATCGGTGAACACAGCAAGCCTCGAATCTTGTGTCATCCATGCTGTCTGAATGCCATCTGTTGGGGCATAAAAAAAGAGGGGGCCGTCAGTGCCGAATTTGGGAGCATTTGGGGGTTGCCTGGCTTTCACCAGCAACCAAATGCCCCACCGTTCAGTTCCGCTTGTCTCCCACTGCATCTGCTTTAACCCAACCCACAATTTTCCATGGAGAGAAAGGTCTGAGCACCGTTCAGTTCTGGAACTCAAGATAAATTCCTGGGCTTAGAATTTATTTCAATTCTAAGTATTTTGTATTTTGCAAGAGAATTACCTGGAGGCTCTTGGGATTCCAGATCCGCCTGAACCATTCAGACATTCCTGTGTTCTCGGTTGTCAGTCGTGTCGTGCCAACCCAGAACATGGGTTCTTGTGCTGTGTAAACTCAACCATGGTAACAACCCATAGTTCTCAACCCAACAACAAACCATGGGCTTTCTCTGTAAGTTGTTCACGGTTAAGAAACCATGGTTTGCTTTCATGGCTGGATTCACACGACACAACCAGCCATGATTGAACAACAGCCCATGATTCAAACCATACTTATTTGCAAGACTGGGGGAGAAAAAGAAGCCATGGCAGTTTATTTTTCTGCATCCTGCACTCCACCCTATTTCCAGACTTAACCAAAGTTGCCTCGCCATCCGAAATGAACATGGTGGCAGTTGCTGCACAGTTTCAGGGTAGTTTGAGGCCACCTCCACTGCCAGCCAGGTTTTGATGAACCAACAGAGGTAATTCTGATGAGGCAGGACATTTACATATATATGTAAATAAGTGACCAGCATACGAAGGCAGGGGAAAGAAACCCCCTTGGCTTCTTTTCTTTCCCCAGCTGTGCCACCCTGTCCACAGATTCCGTCACCGTGTTGTGCAAACCAGGTAACCAGCCCCTGTTCTGCAAAGACCAGGAGGAGTTCTCCAGGGTTTCAGACAGAAGGGCCAGGAACTGAACATGGAGCCTTCTACGTACAAAGCAGGAGCTCCATCTCGGAGATGCAGCCCCTTTCCCGGCAGGATCAGCAGCGGATTTCCAGAATTTCTGGGAGCGGGCGCTCTTCCCCATGACCCTCTTCCAACTGGAAGTGCCAAAATTTCAAGCAGGGACTTTCTGCGTGTTGCACAACCCAGAAACGCGGGCTCGTCAAGATGGGAAATCAGGCCGAGGGAGGTCGCCCCTGGGCTGGCACCTGCTACGCGTGGAGGGCAGAACTGAGGGATAAAAGGCAGGCCTGCCATTGTGTAGCCGCAGGAAGGCGGCCCCTTTAAGGACAGAGGGCGTCCCGTTCCATGGCTCCCGGCCCATTATCTGTTCCTCCAACTTCCCCGAGAGATAAGAGCGAGTTGGCTGGCGCCGGGCGGCCCCCTCTCCCCTTTGAGCCGGCAGCTCTGCAGATTTGGGGGACTGCCCCCTCTCCTGGCGAGGGGGAGCTCTGGAAATCGGGGGTCCCCCTTCTGCTCAGAGGGGCAGCTCAGAAAACGTGGGGGATGCCCCTGCTCCCTTTGAGAGGCAGATCTGAAGATCTGGGGGGCTGCCTTTCTCTCCCCACAAATCGGCATGGGTGGGGAAGGCACCACACAAACCTGGGCAGGTTTATGCCAGTGGGGACCCCCCACACGCTCGCACAGCTGGCCGGCTGGCCAGCAGCCCCACGGCGAGCCCAGTTCAAGGGGGAGCGCCCACCCCTGGCCCGGCCCCATTCTTAGCCAGACTGCTGTGGCCTGGCCAGGAAGCGACCTTTCGAACAAGCTCCAGCCAGTCTGGGATCTGCAAAGGGAGGGAGGGCCTTCTCATGAGAAGCAGGAAACGCTCGGAGCCGCGTGGGGGGAAGGAGCCAGGAATGGGGAAGCGGCAGACCGACTGCAGCCAGAAGAGGTGGGGGAAGGAGAGGGCTGCTCGCCTCAGAGCATGTGAGGACTGCCTTGCTGCACCAGACAGATCCAGTGCACAGGGGTGGCGGCTCCCCCAGCTCTGGTTTGCATGGCCCCAGCAGATGCCTCCAGGCTGCCTCCAGCCATTGAGCTGGAAGGGACCCTGGAGGTCATCTAGTCCAACCCCTGCTTGGTTGGCTCCTTCTCCTGGTGACGGCTGTCCAGTTTAAATGCCCCCAGCCAAGGAAGCATCTTGAGCTGAAGGAAACGCAGCCTGGCACCAGCTCCGCTCTCGTTCTTCTTCCTCAAGGCCAAGCGTTGTGTCCGTGCCGTTCTCGGAAAACCCGGATGTCCTGGCGTTCATTGTGGTTGGCGTTTGTGTTTGTTTGTTTGTAAACATCTCTCAAAGGGCCTGAAAGAGCTAGGATGGGAAGCGGACAAAGCTCTTCAGGTAAACTATTTCTGCTCAGGAGATGCAAGGTGACATGGCAGCCACATTCATTGCTGTCGTCTGCTTTTTGGTGTGAGGCCAACAGAAGCAACGGTTGTACCTTCGCTTGGCTTGCCGCCCTGACCAAGGCATCCCATGTGTGTTTGGACAGGCAAAAAGGCCTGGGCGCCTGAGCATGGGGGGCAGAGTAAAGCTTAAGTCGCCGTGCATATTCCGACAGGAAGGGGGCCTACAACTTGGAGGATAGATGCTGGACATTGTGGGGGCTTTCTCGGTCTAAGCACACCTCTTCCATGCTCTTTGGATTGCTGGCTTTTCATTGCAAAAGCGCCTAATGGTTTCAGATCAAAAAGAAAATCCCAGGTAACGGTGATGTGATGTTTTCTTTCCGATGTGGCAGCGCTGAGCATGACTCGTGGCGCAGAGGTGATGCTGAGCATGACTCGTGGCGCAGAGGTGATAATGCAGGTGGGGGGGGTCGCTTCTTCGCCCTCCCAGTTGCATCACCGAAGTCTCATGGGGCACCTGTGGTCTGCAGGTGCGCTGTGACCCCCACCTCTCCCCAGGCCACACTCTTGTTTGGCTATATCCAGGACAGCTGCCCCTTTCGCACGACCCTCTGTGCCGGAGGAACACTCGCTGTCTGATTATAGCTTTGATTAAAACATCATAATAATACAAAGCGAGGCCTGCTTCATGATGGAAAAAGTCCATCTAGGCCAGGGGTGGGTGGGCTGGATGGGGTCTGTGTAACGTTTGGCTGGGAGCTTTTGGTCATGAATGGGCTTTTCCCCCTCCACTGGATTCCCACATGGTGGCCCTTTTCAGGGGGCTGGAGAGAGTTGGCAAGAAAAGAAGGGAAAGGGGAGAAAGAGATAATGAGAGAAAGGCACCCGGGGCCGGGGGGTGGGGAGGAAGAGACTGAAGAAAGAAGAGGGGTGGGCCCCCACCAAAACTTCCCTGGGAAAAAATTCTCCTCCCCTGATCTCGACCAGCTTCCGGCTTCCAAGTGTGGCCAGCCAAGAGGTGGGGGGCTCTCCCACACCAGAGACATTCAAGGAGAAACTGGACAGCCACCTGAGTGGGATGGTGCAAATTGGTGTCCTTCAACAGCAGGGTTTGGACCCCATGGCCTTCATGGCCCCTTCTATGATTCTATGGTTCCTCTTACCCCAGACAAATGGTATTCAGACATAGACTGCCTTGGAACATGGAGGTTCCATGCAGACCATGCAGTTATCTAACCATCTAGAGGTGCCTGCCGCATCTTGTGGCAACAACTTTTGCTGCTAAATTTTAGGTGGTGTGGCTTCATGCTTCATTCTGGTGCGACTGACCCAGTGATCTGTGGTCCCTCCTCTAAAGGCAAAGTATGGTTCTAGTCCTCATCATTCTAAATAAAGTACTAATTTAATTAGGGACATTGACACCTGCCCTAGGCAAAGCTACATTCATGGTCCATGGCTACACCGACTGGCAGCTGGAGACCCTTCTTTGCCCTACCAGCAAGTGCCAAATATGGGTCTGGACCCAATCCTGGGACCTCTTGAATGCAAACCACGTGCTCTGCTACCGACTTGTCCTCTCACAGGCTGAGTTTTAAGAAGATACGGTTTTACTCACATTGGAACTGGAGTGGCGATCAGGTCGCACCTCCACAGGCCTGGAAAGCAACGGACCCAAAACGGTCCTAGAAGAGCTGGTCGACGGCATAGCACTCCACACACAGCCGGGGATCCCGGAGACCCCCCTAATCCAGCAGGGCCTTCAAACACCAGGAGCAGAGCAGCACGTAGACACAATCCCGGAGCAGCTGCAGCACCCAGTGCACCCGGCTGGCCAAACGCCCGTTTTTGTAATATGGGAACGCCATCCCGTACCCCATACGCTGTGGGCTGTAGGGACCCATGGGGGCTGCCCAGACTGGTGCTTGTGGGGCTGAACACCCCTGCAAAAGGGTAACCTCCTGCTTCCAATCCAAGCCAGCTTTTGGCAGGCGTGTGACTCTGACCCCCGGATCCCTTTGTGTGCGTAAATGTGTTTGTGCGGGGAAGAGAGAGAGAGAGAGAGAGAGAGAGAGAGAGACCGCTGGAAGCTTCTCTGTTGTCCTCGAGGCTCGGTCAGGTCAGGCGGCTGGCAGGAGCCGGCTGATCTTTAACGGCTGAACGTTCAACCTTCCTCTGCCAGGGGAAGTGAAAGACCCAGGGGTATCCCCACAACAGCAAAACCAGAACCTCTGCAGCGAGGACTCCCGATTCAGTGAACCGAAATCTGGCGTGGTTTTCTGCGGTCACATGCGATTTATTTTCTCTGCCCTCCAGCTTCAGGCTCTGCCCTCCAGTTTCAGGCTGTGGCGCAGGGACTCAGATGTCGAGCCGTGAACTGTGACTGCCAGAATAGACGTAATGTGGGAGAGCATGATTAAATCTGATGTTGTTGTTTTTTTTAGCAGGGATGGGAAGGTGGAGGGGACAGGCCCCGAAGCTTGATCAGGGCAGCGATCCTGCAACAGGGGACATTTAACACCCCCCCTGCCCCATACCGTTGCATTAATCTAAACCATCCCACTCACCCCTGAAATGAGCACATTCAGGAAGAGACGGCTACCTAATGGTGGGGAAGCTGAGACAAGAGAATCAAACAGGAGAGGAAAACAGGTGCAAAAGCTCTGTGCATGCCCAGAGGCCCTGTCCCACCGCTTGAGATTCCATTATTCCACAGAACTCAAAACAGGCTTGGCACAACTTTAAGCGGGGTGCTGAATAAACCGTACGGACCCTCACCTTCAAAACTGGGTGCTGGGGGGCATGGTTGGGAGTCTAAAATGTAATGCAAAGGGGCTCTCTGCTCACACTCCGAGGTCCTTTCCTGAAATTATTTTATCTATATGCACCAGGAATAACTTGTCATATAAATGAACAAGCATGTCATATATGTGTTTTATATTGTTAATTTATGTATTTTTATTTATTTATTTGTAAGCCGCCCCGAGGCTTCAGCGAATGGGACAGCCTAGAAATTTTCTAAATAAATAAAAATAAATAAATAAATCTGGATTTTTGCCAGTCAGTCAAGAATAATGTCAGTGGAGCAGATACAATGACAATGCATTATATGCAGATGAAGGACTTCGCAGCAGCCCGAGCAAATTCCAACCACAAAAAGCTTCCTTCAGCAGGAAAATATACATCCATTTGGCTTTGTTTATACAGCCTGTTATCTGGGTGAAATGTATCCCTGTGGTCATACAGCAGCATTTCCACAAGCTGGCGGCTTCCAGACTACAATTCCCATCAGTCCCACCCAGCACTGTAGGAAGATTGGCATACGAATATCTATTTTTGCTGTATGGCTACAAGGGATGCCACTTGCCCCTGAAAACACTTCCAGTTATTTTCCTCAGTTAGGAACAATAACAAAAAAGAGGTGACAGAAATGGAATGAACCGGGTTTATTTCCGTTTTTTCACAGGATGTAGACAAGGACACGTACAGCTGGCTGCCAGCTGTCACGGGGCAGTGTCATACCGTGTGTGTGTGTGTGAGAGAGAGAGAGAGAGAGGGAGAGAGAGAGAAGGGAGAACCACGCAGGAGTTACAGTGGAGCCAGAATGACTGAGATCAGCACAGTGCCGTGCAGGGTGGCCGTGGAGGTCCGACACGGCTACCTTTGCTTGCGGCTGCTGGCCCGGCCCGGCCCTGACTGACTTGGCCCTGGGGCCTCGCCCTCCATGCAGGGCTGGCCAGGGGGAGCCGCAGCCTCAGGCCTCCTTGGCCCAGCCAGGCTTCAGTGGCGGGAGTTGCGCTCGTCCTCTTCGTTCTCAAGCTTGTAGGCCGGCCAGTAACACTCCCGCCCTCGGTCGTCCGTATACCGCAGGGCTGGATTCTTCTGCGTGTTGTTCATGCTGCCGAGCGATGTGTAGCTGCCGTAACATGGGGTATTCGGAGGGACGAGAAAGAGAGATTATTTATTGTTACATTACATTTCTATACCACCCATATCCCTTGGTTCCCACCTACTCCCAGCCATTCTACTGGGCTTCCCAAACCACCTGCTATATAAACCAGCTCTAGGTTCAGAACCATGAGGACTAGAACATTCCTCTTTTTATGAGAAGGGCTAAAACTCCATGGCAGACTCCCTGCTGTTCACGCACCAGGCCCGAGGTACAATCTTTGACATGTCCAGCTAGAGCTGTGGAAAAATCCTGCCAGAAATCTTGGAGAGCTGCTGCCAGTCAGTGTCAGCAAGACTGGGGTAGATGGACTGAGGGGCTGATTTGGGATGAAGCCGCTTTCTGTACTATGGACAATGGGATTACAGGAATGTGGATGTCATGTGAGACTGCCCCGAAAGGTGCTCCGGAACCTGCCGCTGGTTCAAAGCCTGGCCTGAATGGCTGGACCCTGACAGTCTAGTCTGTACAAAGTTACCTCTCAGTTCACCCTTCCGTCTGTCCTTTGCTGCTCTTACCCTTTGTCATAAAGGATGCAGTATGGGATGTAGAGGGAGCGAAGGAACGTCCACACGTCCCGGTACGTCCAGTCCTGTGAGGCAGCCAGAAAGCAGGAAAAGATCGTCAGGAAAGTGGAGGGCACGGAGTTGGCCATCGGCATTCCTCGGACAAGGATTTCTGCACAGCTGGCTGGCCCTCTGCAGGCAGCTGCACAATTCAAGGCTGCAGGTGATGAGGCTGGTATTACAGCCTAGGGCAGTGGTGGCGAACCTCTGGCACACGTGCCACAGCGGGCACGGAGGTCCCTCTTGTCGGCACGCGAGCCAAGCCGCCCCAGCATCGCCCCAGCAGCCGAGCATCGGATAACAGCGCACATAGGGGCCATGCGCATGCTCGGAAAGGAGTAGCAGCACCAGCCACTGACGTCCCGAGCCGTGACTCATCAGCCGCATCTCGTCTGAGCTTTTTCATGGCCGGTCAGCACGCTGCCAAGGATATACATGTATTTGTTTGGACTGGCTGCGAGTTTTAATACATTCATTTTTATTAACACAAGGTTTTAGCTTTGAGTTTTCTTATGAAAAAATGAAAGTTAATATCCTTGCAAGAGGAAAAAGGGCAAGCTATATAAATGCAATATAATAATAGGGGCAGTCACATACCAAGAGTGGATTGACCCGCATGAACTGGGGCCAGTCGGGGTCCGTCATGCAGAAAGGGGTCAGGGTGCAGGAGTACGGATCGGTGCGGCGGGTGCCCATCAGCACAGCCTCGAGCTCCGGTTCCTGCCTTTTCAGGTCTCTCAGAGCTTCTTTTATGTTCCCGTAGACGTTGAAGACTCGGAGATTATACCTGCGGGAGGCGTAAGAGGTTGTCAAGCGCTGCTAGGGAGTCCAGGGCACCAACCAAGCAGCTCCGGTCCTCTGAATCCTCTTCAGGTGACTGGAGGGCAGCTGATTGCCCTGGGTCAGAAAGTGGGACCAAACATCTGGGCTGGCCAGGCCTGGTGTAACGATCAGGCCGTCTTTTCTGGCTGCTTCACAGCGCAATAAACTTCTGCCTGAGGCAGACGGACTCCTGGGTGGAAAAGCACACACTCCAGATTCGACTGGGTATGGACAGCACCAGACCCTGTGACTCAAGTAGCCAAGGATGCCAGAACTGGTTTTCAGCTCACACAGTTAGATGCTGCTGATCTCCTTTCCTTTCTGCTCTGAAGTGCCACACTTAGATGGCCAAGCCTGGCCCCCACAAGCTGTGCAGAGCAAGAGGGGCCAAAAATAACATCTGCCTCCGGGTATCCCTGCAGTCGCCATAGATGCCCTTAATCCTTGAGTTTGGAGGGCTAGAGGCATCCCCATCAGATGGTGTGCTAAGTCAACACCTTGAGTCCTAAAGAATCCTGGGAATTGTATTTATTAATTTATATTTTAAAAAATTGTATCCTGCCTTTGTATCCCCCAAGTCCCACTCCAATACTCTAACCTCTGCACCAGGCTGCCTCTCTCAAAACTTTCTTTTTAAAAGTATGTTATCGGTAGGCTGTTCCCTGATAGAAAGTTCTCCAGGCGGAGCCCCAAAATAAAACCCAACAAAATTCAAAGAAGTTAAAATTAAAAAGCCGATTGGTTTTTTTGCCTGTCAAACTAAGTGACTTCCCCGCGCCTGGGAAACGGCTACGGTTCATACCGTTGCGCAGTGTCTTTGATGAACTCCTCCATCTCGGGAAACGGGGACATGCTGTGGATATAGAGAGCCTGTAACTTCTCTGTCCCCTCTGGATATCGCCTGGGTGGAAGAGTTAACACACCACACATCTGTTTCAGCAGGAATGTAGGGAGCTGTTGTAGCCCAGGTCAGGTATCTGTCCACCTGGCCCAGTATTGCAAAGGTGGGCAGGTGCGTGGACCTTGGGCCCCAGAAACCCTCTCTCCATGGCCGGCAGGCCGGGAGCTGAAATCCCCTGGTCCTACCCATAAACTGCTAAGAGATCTTTTTCAGATGGAGAGAGAGGCATGCAAACCTGGGACTTCTGGCATGCACAGCGCCCAATGTATTTATTTATTAAATCTGCATAAAAGACGCTCCTTTAGCATTATGCTGCCTGGGTGCCCACCGCGATAAACAACAATAATACTATTAATAAAATAATACAGTTAAAAGTGATAAATAAATGTAATAAGACAAATATAGACAGAGAACAAAATGTAAATTGATAAAAATTAATAAATACAGTTAAAGTTCAGACCAGGGCAGGCAATAAAATTTAAGTAGTGCCAGAGGTGTGCTGAGAAAAAAGTTTCCATCTGGCGCCTAAAACTCAAGAGTGGGCACCTGACGAATCTCCGATGGCAAGGAATGCCACCATTTACACTCTGCCCTCCTGAATTTATCAGCTCAGCAAACTATGACGGCATGGGCACCTTTGTACAGCAGCGTGGAAGAGGTGCAGCAACGCGGTACAGTCCTTCCCTCCGTTGAACCCGATGCAGATCTTGGGCAGGGCATACTGGTCCAAGGCGGCTTTGATGGTGCAGATGGCTGCCGCCACCTTCTGGCCTAGGGGGGACTCTGCAGAGAGGGCACAGGAGAGGAGAGAAGCACGAGAAAGGTGCGTCGAGCAGGCCCGATGCTCCATCGTCCCCGACCTGCTGCCCTCTTGCTGTCTGGGACTGCAATTCCCATCTGCCCCAGCCAGCCCAGGACTCCACCCCATCCTGCGGGCAGTAGGCTGGCCTTCTCCCAGCCTGACAATCTAACACAGCCTTCCCCAAACGGATGCTCTGCAGAGGTGTTAGAATGCAATCCCCATCATTCCCAGCCTACATGGCCAATGCAGGTGACAGGGAAGGCAGCGAGCCACGATGCAACCACCACCCCGGAGCAGCGAGTGGGAAAGCTGCTCTAACCACTGAACCACACCGCCCCTCCTTTTGGCACCAACCCGCTCTTGCACCCATAACCGGTGGCTCCGTAACTCGCAGGGCTGGGGCAGCAGTGGGTCAGATGCTACCACCCTACCAGTCTCGGCCAGAGCGTACACATCCGTGGCCGCCCGAGCGACAGGATCGGCTACCAGGGGCACCACGATCCCTTCGGGCAAGTTCCTCATCAGGAAGGAGGAGGCCTCTCGCAGATCCGCCTCCGAGTCTGAGTCCAGCGTCAGCTTCACGCGGAAATAGTTGCTGACCCAGTCAGGGTAGGAGCCCAGGCTTGTGCGGCGCCTGAAGCTGGCGTTGGCCTGGTCCAGCACGGGGGCGATGAGCAGCTCTTCCGCGTCCACGTAGATCTCCTGCGAGCAGAAGCGGGTCTTCTCGTTCCGGAAGAGGTGGCCCAGGCCCTCGAGGGCCCTCCGCATCAGCGACGGGATGCCCGGGAAGACGTAGACGTTACGGACACTGACGAGAGGGTAGCTGAAGACGCGGCCCGTCTCCTTGTCCACGCCGTAGTTGAGGAGCGCGGACTCGGGGACACGGGCCAGTTTCATCTCGGGGCACTCGGCGTCCGACTTGTTGAAGAACTTCTTCACCAGCTCGACCATCTCTGGGTGGGGGAAGACCTTCTCCCCAAAGGCCTGGGCCACGGCCTCGAAGGTCACATCATCGTGGGTGGGACCGATCCCTCCCGAAGTCAGGACGTAGGTGTAACTGCGGGCGAAGGAGGAGATCTCGCCGGCGATAGTGTCCACCTCGTCAGGCACCACGGAGATCTTGGCCACTTGCACGCCCAGCGACCGAAGCTTCTTACACATGTAGAAGGAGTTTGTGTCTTGGGTATAGCCCTGCCAGAAGACAGGAACGCTTCTGTTCAATATATACCAAATTCTCCAACATGAAAGCAAAACCCACAATATTTATGTTCTGGTCTTGGTAATGTAACCAAGACATCTGATTTTGAAAGCCGGCTTAACAACGATGAGATTACGGTTCTCAAAACCAACATAGTTGAAGAGACGCTGTCCCAGCTGATTTTTGCGGAACAAAGAAGTCATGGGAGTCAGTTATGCAGGCCAAGTAAATTTGCGTGGCCTTCCTATTTTATATACTGCCCCTTGCAAGCCAAAGGGAGATCCAAGAAAGGGGAAGGCTTTCCCCTTTACCACTGCAAGTCCTACTTTGCCCCCACTCTTGCTTCTCAGGTTTCTCCACACTTTCTCAGGTTGGTATCCCTGAGGACTAGAAACTTGCTTTTTAAAGCATCCATCTAACTGAAAACAAAGACACTATTTCTTCCCACTACCTACAGCAGCTACTGCCCGAAAACATAGTTTCATACTGTGCGGCCTGCTCTTTACTTATCTCAAGTTTCTGGTAACAGCTCAGATACAATAAATTAAACAAGACACTCCCTGCCCATAGGCTGACAGCCTGAAAAGGTACAGCACACAAGGAAGACAGAATGGGGAAGGAAAAGGAAAAAAGCAAGTGCTTTTTCCGCAGGGCTGGTAGAACGGCTCAGCTTCTCACTTCCATCTCCCTCCAGACAGTCCGCTGAGGGAGAAGGGTCTTTCATGGGGGGTGGGCCTCAGGAGGACAGGTGCAATGGCCCCAGATTCCCTTCTAGTTGGGGTGGGCTGAATTCCAGGGCAGTTATTCCAGAGCAAGATTCGTCCTTCTCAAGCAGCAATGCACAAGAAAGAAGCTCTCTGGATCTCCTGAACATTGGCTCCAGGGAAACAGGAGCTGATATTCCAGAAATCTGGAGATCGAGTTTCTCGCCCACCCCTGCTCCAGTATTTTTGCTCTGGAATACCTACTCACCTGCACTATGTCACCCCAAGAATTGGCATACAGAGCCAACGAAAGAGCAGCTTCATTTAAGCCACCCTCTGTGGATTGTTCTAATTCCCTGAGGACGTCTTAGGAACCCCCAGGCTAACCTCCGCGTTGTGCCAGCCCGTCCATTCATGTACCTTTAGGATCTCATCCCCAATGATGATAATTCCAGCTGTCACAGTCCCTTCGGCCGTCCTTTCGGCGTTGCTGGAGCTGCTGCCATTCCTCTGCGCCGCCATCGCTCGGAGGTGCCTGCTCAGCTGCCCTGCACACCGAACAGCCCTGCACAGTTGAAGGTTCCAGTGCATTAGGGGCGAGCTGGCAAGCTCTAAATATGGCACCGGAAGGGGTCCATGATGCACGGCGTGGCTGCCGCTAGCTGAAAGAAATGAACAAACAGGCAAGCTGACTCTCGTGGTGGTGGAAATGGTTGAGAAGGAACGATGCCTCTGTGGTGCGATCTTTCGTTGCAGCGTCGGCTTGAGGCTTTGGCAAGGGGTGGCATAGAAATGTTCTAATAATAATAATAATAATAGGGGGTTTGGATGTGTTATTGCCCTCACTGCTCCTGCCAACAGTTGTGGTGGAAAAAACCACCTTGTTGGTTACTGATGTTCAGTTCTTAGGAATTTTGTTATATTTAGTAGCTTCTAAAGACAACACGCTCTGGAGATCTGGGTCCTAGTCCCTGCTTGGCAATTATTAGTATATTTATATCCCGCCTGTTTTCTTTTTTTAAAGAATTCAACGCAGCTTACATCCTTCTCCTCCTGCTGCTCTCAGTCTTATCCCCACAACAACCCTGTGAGGTAGGCTGGGTTGACAGTCTGTGACTGGCTCAAAGTCACCCAGCTGGCTCCATGGCTGAACGGGGACTCGAACCTGGATCGCCTGACTCCATGTCTTGTGCTCTTAGCCACTGAATCACACTAGTCATGAAGCCCCCTGGGTGACGCCGGATCAGTCACTGCCTCTCAGCCTAGCCTACCTCACAGGGTTTTTCTGAGGGTAAAATAGAGAGCATTATGTAAGCCGTCTGAGGCTTTATATAGAAAATACACTACAATAAAATATGGCAAGCAGAGTCCAAGCAGCCAGCCAGAGACTTTCTTTGTATGCCATGCAACATTTCATTCTATTCCTCGATGAGGGAAGCAACTTTGTACACAAAGTGAGGGAAGAAAGGCACTTTGCACATCCTCAAGAATACTCTTCTTCATATCACCCATAAACAGTGCTTTTTTTGTAGAAAAACGGTGCTGGCACTCATGAAATTATTTACCTTTCGCCCATAGTCAATCACTGTACACACACCCACACACCTCAGTTGTGTAACGAAACATACAGGTCACCACCCGCAGTGAGCACTCGGTGCGCGGCCACACGACCAGTCACAAGCCGAGCAGCGCCATCACAACCGGTGCGGACGAGGCGCGCACGCATCGGATTCGACACACAAGCGGCCCGCGTGCACCGTTTGAACGATTTTGCCGCCGACCTGCTATGCTCGACGGGGCGATTCGAATCCACGTGGACCAAACATCAAATCGTCGAAAGTTATTTTAAAACTTGGAAAATCTGTCGAACTGGGACTCCGTTCCAGCGCGTCCTATGGCAAAAGAGAGCGCAGCCCATAAACCCGCAGCACGTACCGGCAGCCGGTCTCCCCCAGCTCGCCGTCCCTTCCTTCCTGCTCACCCGGCAGCGTCCAAGCGCTAAGCGGCGCGAGCTCCCGCCCGCCGTTTGTCCATTGGCTGATCCTTCCAACGCCCCTCACCTTCTCCTTCGCCGATTGGACGGCGAGAAAAGGGGTGGGGAGATGGAAAGTTCCTGGAGGAGACCGATTGGCTTACAGGTTCCTTCTAGTCCCAGCCTGACGTTCTATCGGACTCGCAGGAGAAAAGGTGGGGAACGAACGGCGCTCCGTGAGATGAAAACTACAATTCCCATCGTGCCTTGCAGCAAGCAGCCGCTCAAGTTACCTTTTGGAAGCCACGTTGGAGTGAGTTTGCCTAGAGCTAGCATTAAAAGCCGTGTGAAATCAGTGCCTACTCTAGAACCAGTAGAACACACGCTGTCAAGCTAAAGCAGGCACCCCCAATCTGACGTCCTCCAGGCGCGCTAGATTACAACCCCCCTCATCCGCAGCCTAGCGTTGGACAAGCTGGCCGATGGTAACTGCAACCCAACACAGCTGGACGGGACTAGTTCGGGGAGGGCTGAGCTAATGACTCATAAAACGTTCAGAGGCGGAGCAGGTCAGTTACAGAGGGCGGGATGCAAGTCCTGCATCCCTAAGACAGACATCTACTTTCTGCTTCAATGTCACCAGGGAAAGAAGAGCCCTCCACCTTCCAAGGCATCCGCGGTTATTCTAACAAGTTTCTCCTAATGTTGAGCTGCAAAGTCTAGGGTTTAATCCTGTTCTCTGGGACAACAAAGGGAGGTGGGCAGCCTGTGCCAGGACTATGCCACTTCAGCTGCAAGCAGGAAGGCTTCCTGGAATCTTGAGCCTGCTCCATTCTTTAAGTCATTTATAGTCTGCCTTTGCACATTAAAAAAAAAAACATTCCCAAGGCAGATTTCATAACAATAGAAGAACACACAATTGCACAGAAGTTAAAAGCACAATACTTTTAAAGAAGTTTCCTTGTGCATAACAACACATACAAGGGTCAGCAGGAACTCATTCCTGAAAGCTTTGAAAAATACAAAGGGTTACAAGCACCACTGAGCAGCATCCTTCCTTTGAATACTGAGGTCTCTCTTATGGATTTTCATCCCACCTCAAGGCAAAAAGGTAACATGTGCATGAAATGGCATTTTGCATAAACAGCTTTTCTATAGAAAACTAAGAAGTAGGCTTAAAAAGAAATAAGTGATACAGATTAATTAACTTCTTGTAACTTACTTTTTCATAATTTTAGCCAGGCCTTAAAGATAAATGCACAAACAAAACCAGCGATGGCAGAATGATCCTGTGGCCCCTAGGTGGTGTTTAATAAGCAGCAGGATGGTTGATTTTTATCTCCAAAGCTGAAGAGAGTCCCAACCTGAGAGCTGGGAGTCTGCCAGATCCCCTCCCTCCACAGCCTTGGAAAGATCTTCATTGGCTGCAGCTCTGAGGCCTAACAGCAACCTCAGAGAGATGTTTTCGGGTGGGAAGAAGAGACAACAGAGGTCATTAGGGTACAACTTTGCCTGGAGACGCTCCAGCCTTCTTCCCTTTCCATTCAAAGCATCCCCACTAGGTGGCCAAAACTGGACAGAAAGATCATAGAGGTAAAATTTCTTCCCACTTTGTGTAAGATGCCTGCAATCCTGAGTCTTACGGGCTTCTCCAATGTCTTATGCCCTAACCTGCAATTTCCATGCTGGCTGTGCAGGGACATTCCTTCCTCTTTGGCCAGCAAAGATGGAATAAAAGAGCTCATCTCTCCATCACTAGCCATATTTTCCTCCTTTCTTATCAAAACCAGGCGAGTTGTTAAAAGCACAACTGGTGGTTTTCTTTTTCACCACACCTGAATGATTTAAGCAACAAACACACTTACCGAATGGAGGTAAAAAAATAGGAAACATAAAATCGTTGTGCTTTATTGATTGGCCCTGAAGGACAGCCATATCTAGAATAACTTGAAATGTTCCAAAGGATAACTTGAAATACACGTTTTTAAAAGAAACACATATTAAAAAATAGCCAAGCAATGACACACCCCACCTCCTTTGGGATTTAAAAATCACATTGGCCCAGCTATATGCATGGAGCACATGCCTTTAGCAATGCCAAAATCATCGATAGCTAAATTAGTCCTTTCCAGCAGACAATCTTTTGCAGTGAGGGAAGCTTTTCCCACACGTTGTCCGTGGTGTGCTGCTTGTGTTGAGTGGCATTTTCTTGACAGCTGTATTGAAAACATTTCCAGAACGTCTTTTAAACCCCCCCCCCAAACACACAGTAGTTGTTTCTTTGTATTTTGTTTAACAAGGTGCTTGTATCTCAAACATGGAAGAGAGGCTGTGAATATCACTTTTCTGGTTTCTTTGGCAACGGCCTTCGGAAGAGCAGGATATGGGGTTCTGTAGGGAGAAAAGAGATAGCGCATTAAAGGTCCTTCGAAAGAAAGAACGATTGTTATCAGATTGCATTTATATGCCACAGGTCCTCCTCCTGCAAGACATGCAAAGCAGAGATGGTGAGGACTGCAGGTGGGGACTCCTGCCACAAAACCAGTGTTTCCCCAGAGTTGTGTTGCCCCCCATCCTGGCCACTTGTGTGCCTCTCCTTGCCACAAACTTGCAAGTCCATCTGCATGAAACTCAAAGCCAACAGGGCCTGGTTCTGGACCCACAAGCCCTGGCTTGGGCAACAAGTGGCCCTGCATGGTGATTGGACAGCTCCTTGCCATCCCTGGCAGTGGCCCAGGCTGCCTGGGATCCACCCAAGCACTTGTCTTAAAAAACTGGCTAGTTGCAATTGCAATGGGTCATTGACGAATAGTCATGCCACATGGCCAAACATGTGCTTCAGGCACAGGTCTACGCATGTTTAGACAGAGAAATGGCACATCATCCCCAGTCTGTCCCAGCTGGTACCCTGAGCATTTGTAGAGGCTGTTCTGATTCTGCAAGGAAGTAGGATGCACTTGTTCATCCGACTAAGGCCATTTCCAGCTGTTCAGATATCAAGAGCTGTTCACAGCCCATCCTCAGGAGCAGGCTCTCTCGGCATTTCTTCCCAATGTTTCCCCATGATGTAACTCACCTGGTTCATGGATCATGTAGTGAACCCAACCCTGGCTCTGCTGAACCCCTAGGTTCCGCCACTCTGACTCGGACATGAGATGAGTTTTGGGAACCAGCTTCGCGATGTCCTTTGGCAGCATCACATGCCTACAGGAGCAGAAGGCCAGAAAGAGAGTAAGAAGCAGAAGACACAAGCGTTGAGAGAGGTGCAAAGTGTGGCAATTGCGGGCCCTTTTCTGTCAAGATGTGCGTTATTCAGAAACAGTTCTGTATAAAAAATCCAGATCTTTTTATCATGTGTACACAAATACTTATAAAACAACTGTCCATTCTTGCCTGTCTGTTATGGTTGCTCATCTCCCTAGTCTAAAAACGGCACTGTAGAGCGGGGACCTTGAAAGCCATCTAGTCCAAGGGTGCAGAACCTTCTCAGCCAGGATGCAGAGCCTCAGCTTCAAGGTCCCAGTCCGGTCTTTCAGCATTCTGCAAAAGGCAACAGTCCCTGGGCCACCCACTTCCACTCAACCACCAGTTGCTTGGTAATATCTCAGATTATTTTATAATCTTCTCCCCACAATTCCAAATAGTGCAGTGTCCCTCTTCAAGCTTAACTTCTAGCAGTAAGGGCGGAAACTACAACACGCACGCATTTAACTCTGCCCCCTTTGTCTATTGCCCACCCAGCACTGAATGCCGCTCTCAAGAACTGCTACACTAAAGATTATGTCGGTTCTAGTCCATTCCATGCCACAAGAGAGGCTACGAGGCCCGGAAGCAGCTACAAAAGGCTTTTTGATCATTTAACAAAACGGGCACGGATTTTTTTTAGAACGAAGTCGGTATGAGCGGCTTTAGTGGGTCACCACAAGATCACTAATAGCAACAATAAAATAAAAGCAATAAAAGCAACAACAACAGTGAATAGGAATGGCAGAAATAGAAGCAGTAACGGACTACTGGGAGCAACCAACTGCTCCCATATTCTGCATCCACAAAACAACTGGGCAGCTGCTCCTCCCAGTGCGCGTGCGCCCCTTGATCATAACGTTGCCACGGTAACCCGGCTTTTGGCCCCGCCCCCTCGGTCCCACAGGCCCCTCGCACACTTCCGACACAGCGCGCTCCCGGCCCTCCGAAACGAAGCGCCGCACCACTCACCGGTACTCGAACTCCTCGTCGTCGTACTTGTCCGAATAGTAGATCTGGCTGTGCGCCATGATAATGACCACGATGATGATGATGATGATGATGATGCCCAGGAGGAGGGAAAACCGTCCCCGCCCGTCAGTCCCGGCACTAGGCTTCCCTGCGGCCCCCGCGGCGTCCGCACACCAACCAGAGAGCGAAGCCGCGCGCTCCGGCTTCGCCTGCTGGCGCCCATTGGACGACGAGAACAGGGGGCGGAGTCTCGGGCAGCGGAGCCCCGCCCCCTCTTTCGCGCGCTGCTTACTCTCCGCCCACAGGCGCACGCACGTGCCGCCTTCCGTAACGGCCTAACCGCCGCTTTTTAAAGGCCGCCAGGGGTGGAGCTGATTGGGTGAGGGCGGCGAAGAGTGATGACGTTGAGAAGGGCGATTGGCTATCGCCGGGCCGGGTTGTTTTCCTCGGCCCCGTGTTTTCCTCAGTTTCTCCTCGAGCGGTTTTTCTTGCTTTGGCTGTGAGGTAAAACTTCGCCTTTAGGCAGTGCGGTTGGTCGACTTAATTACAGTCAATTAATTGGGGTGAATTAAGGAGCGTGTGTTCTGTGGAGGTAATCTGGTTTTTCTGCTATCGTGAAATGATCTGACTACTTCAACCTACTTCAACCTGGCACCCTTGAAGTATGTTGGACCGCAGTATTCCCAGCCGCCGTAGCTGGCCGTTGGCTACAACTCCCATCATCCCCTACTCACGTGGCTATAGATCGAACGAAAACCGTAATCATTCCTATTGGTAGTGGTGTCTGGGGATGATGGAAATTGAATTCATACGTCCGGGAAGGCGTGGCACATTGTTTAACTGAAAGTCAGAACACATTTAATAACCCCAAGACTAAGTACATCGATGATACCCAGTGTTTAGGAAAAACAGCTCTATGTGGTCTAAACCAAATATATCCTGACGTGCCTAATCCTTTCTAATCTTGGAAGTCTGGATGAGTGACTTAACTGGTGTGAACAGCGCAGACAGCTTTGGCTATGGGCAGTATAGAAATGTAATAAACAATACCTCTCAAACTGCTTCCAGGTATCTTGCACATCACTATGAACTGTCTGTTAAATAACTCATGATTCACTGCTGTCACTATAGGACAGTTATTCAAATTCCTAGAAGAAGCTACTAGAAGCACAATAGCAAACAATATCAATGTGAAAAAAACCAGAAGCTTTTTTTTAAAGCCAGTGTAGCTGCACAAAAGCTTCAGGATGGGCTGAAAATAAAAAGAAACATGTATCAAACCGGGGTGGGGGTGTGTGAAGTCTTCAGGAGCAAAAACAGGCTAACCAAACCCACAAATGATATCAACTAAAGGCTGGAATTTGTTGAGATTGAACAGGCATGCTGTACAGTCAAAAGGAAGCCTTTCCAGGTTTGTTTGAAGCAAGTGAAAGAGGAAGGAAATGGTGGAATTGCTTCTTAGTAAGGATGGTGAAATGTTAACAGGTGAAAGAAAAGCAGAAGTGCTCGACTCTTGCCTCCCATCTTGCAAAGGGAGAACTGCAACTTGCAGTGGTTTCACTGGTGGGTGAAAGACTGAGATGTTGGTCAGGAATATCTAACACCCTTGGATGATATGTTCAATACCATATGGACTGTATTCCAGGACACTAAAAGAACTTGCTGGTGTACTTTGAGAGTCCCAGATAGCTTCTTGGAGAAATTCTGAAGAAAGAAGCTGGTGCTTCAGAAGTGGAGAAAAGCAAATGTCACAAACTTGAAAACAAATGAAAATGGTAGATTCAGGAAGCTATAGACCAGTCAGTCTGGTTTTACTAGCTCAGCAGATCAATTTTTTATTTTAGCAAATTCTGAGAACATAGTAGATATAGTCTACATATCCATCAAGTATTTGAGAAAATTCTCCTTCCTTGTCATACTATGATTACCAAACTGGTTAGATTAGGGTTCAATCGAATAGTCAGCTAGACTCACAGCTAGTTGGGAAACCACTTGGCTTCAGGGCTTAATTCTGAGCCCTGTACTACAACAACAATTTAATCAATGACCTGAATCAAAGGTGGGCAGTTTAAAAACATTTGGAAGGCCATAACTCCTAACATGCCTGAACAGTGTAGCCAGTAGTGAGGCCCAATGGGACCTATAGGGCAAAACTTGCCTTCTCATGCCCAAAGGGAGGAGAGCATCTGGACTGATTTGATCCAGGACCCTCTGCTATAAAAAAGTCAAGACCTTCAGTTGACCAGAGCAAATCTATAAACATACAATGTGGGAAAGAACAGTCCTTTGTGTAGTCATTAGCACCATGTTTTGAACACACCCACTCTCTTCCCTTTCAGCTTTCTTCATGGCCCAGCTCTCTCAACCATACATGGCGATTACGAATGAATACAGCAGCGTAGATGATGCTGGTCTGGATTTGCCCTGAAACATCCTTACACTTGGTGAACTTGTCAAGCTCCTTCATTGCTGCCCTTCTTCGAATTTCTTGGCTGCGGTCGCCCTGCGAGTTGATGGCAGACCCAAGGTATGCAGCATAATTCACAACTTTGTCGACAGTGAAGTTGTGCAATTCTTCTGTAGCCATGAGTTTTGCTTTAATACTATTCCTAGTAAGGGAGATGAAGGGACAGCATTTGCAGCTGGTTTGAGAAAGCCCGCTGTCGAGATGGGAAGCACGCTCGTTCGCGGCCGCTATCGACGCTTCCAGCTCCCAACGGCGGATTTCCCAAACTTCGCGACGGAGGGTCCGAGCGCTGGACCGTTCGAGATCTTTTCCCGCAGAGCGCAGGGAATAATATTAGCTTCCAGTCCTTAACCGGAAGTGGGGGCGGTGTCTAGGTCCCTCTACACTTTCTATCTCTATGGGTAGCGAAGACGACCGCACAGAGACCATCGGCGCAAACGCAAGAGTCGCGTCTTCCGCAAATCATAGAGTAAGCTCGGGTGCGTGCGGCGTGGCCGGAAGTAAGAGCTTCAGGAAGGGACCGGAAGTGATTTTGTCGCAGGGAGCCTTGTAGTCGGAAGTGATAGTGGAGGTGGGAAGAGAAGGGCGGGGAGGGGCTGGTCCAGAAGTTTGTTCAGGAGCTGCTGGGCAAGGAGCGAGGAGGCCGTCTCTGCCGCCGGGTGCGGACCCCATGCTGCCGCCGCCCCCCCGGTAAGACGAGCGGACGCGCCCTTTCCCGCAGCCCCGCTCCTCTCTATGATTGACGAGGGGGCAGCCTCCCCTCCCCTCCCCTCCCCTCCCCTCTAGACACCCCCCCTTCTTCCTGACGAATTTCTCCTCTCGACTTTTGCTTGTGTCGTGCCTTTCCTCCAAGGGAAGGAACTGCCCTGCTTTTCCCGCCTCAGAACAGCCCTGCGAGGTAGGCCAGCCAGGAAGAGCGGGCTGAGCAAGTCACAGAGAGGTTGGCATCTGGGTGAGGATTCGGACCTGTGCCCCTCTCCCCCCGAGTCCAGTTCTCTGCCTGGCACGGGCTTTCTGTTTCTCCGTTTCTTCTGCGTCGTTTAGTTGTTTGTGTGTACATTTATTGCTTGCATTTCCCGCGGAGAACTCAAGGTGGCGTAGCTGGTTCTGCAGCATCTCTCCTTCCCTCCAAAACTCCACTGTTACCTTCACAACAACTCCGTGAGGTAGGCTAGGCACGTACTTATGTTGCAGACCCTATTCCCATGCCTGCTTGGTGGATGGTGGAGATCTGTGTCCCTGTTTCTTTGCTTGTCAGGTCTGGTCCCTCCTGTCTCTAAACCGTATGTAGTCTCCTGAAATTGTGGGTAATTTTCCAAACTATAGGCCCATCTTGTTTACCGTCCTGCTTCCCCATGAGGCCCACAGGTGGGAAGGGAATGCCCCCCTACAAACACCAGCATAGTTTGTCTTTTTGCAAGAGGAGTAGGCTCTGTTCTTGGCTGCAGTTTTTAATAGCTGCTGTTAAACTATCTCCTCCATGTTGATTTTCTTAATTCTTCATAAAGAATAGAAGAGATCTGTGGGATCAATCAGACCAAAACCTTGCAAGTCTAGCATCTTGCTTCCAACAGAGTCCAGCTGAATACCTTCAGGAAATCCAGGAGCAGGAAGCTCTTTGCCCTCAGCATCAGGTGTTTTCAGGCGGACTGCTTCTGGAGGTGGAGCCTCATTTCCTTCATGGTCCCATATATGTTCCCACTTGGTTTCCTTTCATTCTGCTTGCCTGTAATGCTGGGAGAATCCAAATCCTTTTAGCCCAAGGGTGTTGTGTCTCGATTGCAGCTCATCAGCAGTCTGGCCCTTGGGATTTTCTGGCTTTGAGCAGTTATTTCCTAATTGTAAAAGCTGAAAAGTTTCCTGAAGCTGAATTAGTGACCGAAGGGGTTTAAAGCTAGAATATGTTGGTATTTTGGTAATATTCAGCCCTGCCCCTGGAATGTGACTGTTAAGAGTTTCTCTGAAATGGGATTTGGCCCTTGGACTGAAGGAGGCTTGGCGCTCTTGCTTCAAGTCTGAAGCAAGGCTGCCAAACGTCTTACAAACCTCATGCTTGCTTTGTTTCTGCTCTTCTGTAGAGATCTACTTTATTGTTTGCTTACCTTTTTTTAAAGTCATTTCATCCTGCTACTCTAGGACTTCAGGGTTAGATGTATGTTTTTCTTCTCCCCACTTAATTCTTGCAAATCAGCCCAATGAGGTAGGTTGGGCTGAGAATTATTGTCTGGCCCTGTGAATGTTAGGGCTGAGTGACAACTGGTACTCAAGTCTCCCAACTTACTGGAGCATTTCCCCCTCTCTCATGCATATGAACCCGCCTTCTATAATCTCTTTTTGGGTGGTAGGTTCAGCCTGGCATTGTGAATACCCTGCTTGTCCATGCATACTGAATATTATTTTTGGGTCCCTTTGAAGAGACAAGATGCTGATTCAGATCTAGCTGTGGCTGCACACTCTTTGGGTCATAGATGAGACAATTTTAGGGGCCCACCTTGGAGATAATCAGTACTGAAGCGCTTTGGAAGCTATGTTACAAAATGTCTTTTCCAAAATGTAATTGTTGTAGTTCAGAAACTTAGAGAAAGTGGATGGGGACAGGAGGGCTGTATAAAACAATATGTGGGAAGTGCTGAGAGAA